ATGTTTTCTAAGAGGACTTTTATGTACAATCACATGAAAGCAATCACATGATAGGCCAGCAGCGCATCTCCAAACAATGACTGGGAGGAAATCTGGAGTTTGGGGAGGTATGGGAAGGAAGGAACAATTTGGTCTTAGCTATGCCACTTTTCTAGTTATATGATCTTGCATAATTCATATGATTCATGGATCTCTGCTCTCTATAAAAATAAGAAATGTATGCTAGTGAAGTTCAAATTTCACTTAAAGTGAAAATACTTTAAGCATTATAAAATCCTAACCAGTCTGGATATTAAAAAATGATCATTACATTAAGGTTTTTATCTATTCCTTTTCTTCACTAATGAATCAATAATTTCTGCATTTTTCTGAAAGCTAAACTTTGTTAACCCTATACTCTCGTAATCCCTCTGATAATACCCCTCCCTTTAACTGAAGAAACAGAAAGTGACCTGTGCCCATGACCTCTGCAGTGCTCTGGTTTTCTTGAGCTTTTTAAGTTACTTACATTTTCCAAATACAAAAGCTAAAAATAATAGCTATGAAAGTTGAAAATACATTAGCACTATCAGAATACTCATATTTGAATGTCAGCATCCATAACAATGCAGCCATAGCAAATAAGCATATAAAAATAGTGACTGGCAAAGTGACAAGGCAAAGGAAAAGGCCCGGTAGGTAGAGAAGCAACCTTGCAAAGTTAGCTCATGCAGACCAGCAACTAAGAACCAAAGCTTTACCACTTATAGCTGAAAAATAATTATTTCAAACAAAATGCAACATTTATTACACTAATAACTGAAGTCTACACAGAAAAACAAAGTAGTAATTCATTGTATAAAATAAAAAACTTGTTATATTTTACTTAAGTATATATCAAAGTAAAGATTTATGAAAATTATATACCTATATTAAAATCATAATTACATTATGTATCAAAATGTAAAATTTGAAGAAAATTGGTAACTTTGTTTTATGAGGTATTAACTTTAAACATCTAAATTTTTAAAAAATAAATTCAAAATTTAAGTTTGCTAATACTCTGGATTTTTCTATTTTCCAAATACACTCGTAAATAGCATAATTTAATTCTACACTAAAATAAATGGCTTTTTTGGATATTTTAAGTTATAAATAAGCTTTACTGTAACTGCAACTGTAAAAATTAAGATGTATATACAATTTTTAAAAAGAATGATACCTCAACTCTTCAGCCTATACAATTAATCAAATACAGAAATACAACTTTATGAAACTACATGTCTAATTTTCCACATAAGAGACTAGTAACTGGAACACCAGTAATGTTTTCCCTATATATTTTCCTTAATTGCCAAATAGTAGGAAGAACGGAAAAATAATTCAAGCAGAATACTATACAACTATATAATGGTAATTCTACCCCTGGAGAAGGCAAGTAATTATCAAAAACTTTAATATACAGCCAGTACATTTTTTTTTTAAGCTTTAAAATTTTTTTTTAATTTTTATTTTATGTGTATGCGTGTATTGCCTGCATGTAGGTAAGTGCACCCATGTCGTGCAATGCCCACGGAGGTCAGAGAGGCTGTAGGATCCCCTGGGACTGGAGTTACAGACAGTTATTAGTTGCCATGTGGGTGCTAGGATTCGAACCCAGGTCTTCTGCAAGAACAGCCAGTGTTCTTAACCGCTGAGCCATCTCTCCAGTCCCCGCCAGTACATTTTTCTATCAACACTTGTTACAAATTTTATTTCACTCCTAGGTTCCCTACCTTTCTGTTCTTCTATGTTGGTGAAGCTCTATCTTTCACTGTCATAAACCTTTAAGATTCTAGAATAGTTTGAGTAGAGAACAACCATGAAGGTCTGCTGGAACAACTCTAAGAGTTGGTATAGTAATTATGGAATAGGGTGAAGAAAATGTAGGCAGAGCTGGCTATATCACACAGGAGGCTGTTTGGGGATTTTCAAAAAAGTAGCACTTTGAAAAATCCAGATCTTTAACAATTCAAACTAAATACAAAAGCATCTCTGAAAGTCAAGTACAAATATTTCAGTCTATTTGTACAGATGCTCTAAAAGCATGGCTTATAATATACATGAGTATTATTACCCACTGAAAACTTTGTTTCCTGTCATATTAACACTGTGGGCTGTTTTCTAGTATTGGGAAACTCTGAGGGGTTCCAGCCTCAGAAACATATATTTGGCATATTTTCATGTGCCAAATTAACTTGTAGGTTTAAGGGCACAAAATGTATCACTCTCTATTTTAGGGATAACAGTTCAAATTCTACCTTTATGTTCATTTAAAAAGTTTTGTGAATTCATGTTTTCTGTATCAATTACTGCCATTATGAGTGACATAATGACATTTTTATACACTTTACAGTATCAACCTTTCAATAACTGTAACATAAAATTTAAATTTTTATCTAATGCAAAAAACACGTTTTGGTATATACCCAGCAGAATGAAGTATATAAATTTCAACTGTAGTTTAATTTTTTAATTTTTTTTTTTTTTGGTCTTTTTGAGACAAGATCTCCCTGTAGCTCCAGCTGTCCTCCAACGCACTATGTAGACCAGTCTGCCCTTAAACTCACAGAGATCCGCCTGCCTCTGCTGGGATTAAAGGAGTGCACCACCATGCCCGGTGTAAATTGTAGTTTTAAACTTAGAGAAAACAACTATTTCAGTATGATTTTAATACCTTGGTACTAAAGCATGGATGTGACAAGTCTCTGTAGATGACTTGAAGACATTCTTAAATTGGGTCAACTTGGCTTGAATACTAACCTGCCACTTATTAAGATGCAGAACCACAGATAAGTTATTTATAAGACCATAGAAGTATTTCAGTAGTTCATGGCAGGTTGGTCTGATTTTTCATTCATGTCTACTTTAGTTAATAATGAGCAACAAGTTTTCAAAAGCCTCAACCCTTTTGTAACCACCTTGTTTGGTAATGCACACAGTGTGCACTATCACTCACGTGGAGCTCTTCCTGCATCACTTATTTTAGGCTCAGTTGGGCCAATTTGACTTAGAAGTTATTACTATGTAAGTCTTTATCTTTGTCTATGCTGCATGTCTCTGTAATTCATGAATCTAACCCCTTCCTTTCCATCAAATTATCTTACTCTTGTTTTTTAATGGAGGCTAGTATTTGCTGGAATATTTATTCATTAAGAATTTACATAACTTTAATTTTGATAGCTGCATTTCTATAGAACCACTATTGCTTTTATTAATGTTCTAGTGAAAAAGTTGCTTAAGTTTTAAGTTTTAGTGGTATTTCCTCTATGAAATCCAATTATTCTTAATATGCAACACTGTACAATTTAATGATGTTGTGCTATAGTAGAAATGCCTGTACTTATTTAACATACTTGTCACAAAAAAAGTCAAGCATTTATTACAAATAAGGATTGAATTTAAAAAAAATTACCTCCATGTAGAAAGACCTGTCACATTCATGGGTTAGCATCCTTCCACTCAACAAACAAAAATTACAGATGACATGTTTTTTAAAAAATACTTTCAAGCCGGGTGTGGTGGCACATGCCTTTAATCCCAGCACTTGGGAGGCAGAGGCAGGCAAATCTTTGTGAGTTAGAGTGAGTTAGAGGTCAGCCTGGTCTACATAGTGAGTTCCAGGACATCTGGGGCTACAAGGAGACCCTGTCTCAAAAAGACAAAAAACAAAAAAAAACAAAAAAACTTTCAAAATTCTTTTTTTCTATTTAATTTTGGATTTAACTATTATCTGCAAAACAATTTACAAACAGAAAGGCTGTTAAAAAGTAATGGTTTTGGTAATTTATTATCTCAGATTTTAATCTGTATTACAAGGCAGATTAGAAATATGGATTAGTATGGCATGGTGGCATACACCTTTCATTCCAGCACTCTGAAGGCAGAGGCAGGTGAAAATGTGAGTTTGAGATCAGCCTGGTGGTCTACACAGCCAGTTTCAGGCCAACCAGGGCTATATAGTGAGACCCTGTCTCCAAAAAAAAAAAAAACCAAAACAAAACAAAAAAGGAATATGGATTAATATGACATCTATATTGATTAACTTTATATACACATATATGTGTGTATATATACAAATATATCCTTGGCAGACTAATCAAAATTAAAAATTTCATATCAGCAGATGTAAATATTAAGACTATATAAATCCTGCCGGCTATGGTGGCGCACAGCTGTAGTCCTGGCACTCGGGAGGCAGAGGCAAGCGGATCTCTGTGAGTTCAAGGCCAGGCTGGTCTACATAGTGAGTTCAGGCCAGCCAGCTAGGGCTACAGGGAGACCCTGTCTCAAAAACACCAAAAAAAAAAACCCCAAAACTATATAAATCCTTATAAAATACTTCAAGTTTTACAAAGAAAAGCCATAAAATTCAACTTTGTTATAAATACACTATATTATAACTACAAATTATTTTTATTATGATGAGGTCTAAAATATGTAATAATAAACTAAACTATTTCCTTTTGTTTCTGTGGCACTGGGGATAAATCCAGGTCTCACAGATTGCTCATTCAGCACTCCAGCCAGCCTTGCAGCCTAGACACTAAATAAGGAGGTCAGTAAATGAAACCAACATACTACAGAATAGACACAGGACAGTGACTTGCTACTTCTATAAGCCAAAGCAAAGCCTATCCTTTTTAAAAACAGACTTTACTTCATATGGCTTTTATTTAATCCTTATTTGTAATAAATGTCTGACTTAGACCCTGCCTCAAAACAACAAAAAACAAGGAACAAAACAGAAAAGCAAAACAAAATAAATGTTTTGACTTTTTATTTTGTGACAATAAGTATGTTAGGTGAGTACAGGCGTATCTCCTATAGTACAACACATACATCCTTAAGAGCTGTAAACTATACAATATTGAATGAATATTATAGCAACGGTTTAATATCATTATTCAGCACAAAACAAATTTCTATGATTTTCATTTTCTGTTATTTCATAATACTTAAAAGTAGAGAGAGACACTTACTAGCTGAAGCCTGAGGTTGCATGCGAGGTATTCCTCCATTTGGCACTTGAAAATTGGAATCACTTCTACTGCTCTTCACTGAGTCAACTTGTGTGTTAGATGTTCGAGACAGGTTTGGAAGACTTCGTCTTAGTTTTTCTAAAATAATGAGATTTTAATTAAAAAAAAAAAAATCAAACCATTCTTTGAGATAGAGAACTAAAATATTAAGTAGAACTGAAAAGTAACATACTTCAACATTCTATATATTGTAGAAGTAACAGGAAATATTAAAAAGAGAGAGAGAAAGAAAAACTCAACCCAGAGACTGTAAATGGGTAAAACAAAACCGTTAAGAGAACCATAAATGATATTATCAAATCTAAATCTAAAAGGCCACTCCATGAGTAAAATAAAATAAAAGTAACATAACCACATAAAGTTAAATTTACTTTTTCCTTGTGTTTTATTAGTTTGCACTAACAAAATGATAAGGGACTATTTATTTATATGAAACAAACCTGGGAGAAAAATACATTCCTTTTCACACTACAATACATTAAAATATGGGCCCCCTCCCCCACATTTCATTACCGTATCTGCTGTGTTTTACCTTCATTTTTAACATTGCTTGTCTGTAAATCTGCTGGATGGCCTTGGAGGGAAAGGCGGGGCTGCTGCAAGCGGCTAATCATAGGCTGTGGGGACACTCTGCTGTATTCTATTCCCCGGGCAGGAGACCGTGAACGAGGTGAATTTCGGGGTGACTGCTTAGGAGATGGTCGAGGTGAGTTGCGTGGTGATGGAGAAAACCTGTTAACAGCAGGGTATACTGCATGATGCATACTATCATCTTCATCATCTAAACTCTGTGCATCAAGTTCCTGATCACTAAAAGTACCCCGTCTTGTAGAATTGCAAGATGAACCAGAACTGCGCCGAGAAGTGGTGGCTGCGTACTCTTGCCGGAGACCTGGCAACAATGAATGCATTATTTATTTATTTGATCGTATTTTCAAAATTTTAAATATTTAAAAAATTAAATATGAAAGTTATCATTAAGAAATTCGATGAAGGTATAAAGTACAAAGGAAAAGTCCTTCTTACTTTTAGGCATTCTTCCATATAAAGATGCATGAACTGATTCTTAAAGTTATTTTTAAATTGAATGAAAGTCTACCACTTTTGTTTAACTTAAGACTTCCAGAATCTGAGCCAGGTGTGGTGGTACACGCCTTTGATACCACCACTTGGGAGGCAGGCAGATCTCTGTGAGTTCAAAGCCAGTCTGCTCTACATTGTGAGTTCCAGGCCAGCTGGGGCTACAGGGAGACCCTCACTCAAAAAAACCAAAGGAAAAAAAAATCCATATTCCTGGGGGCTGGATAGACGGCTCAGCAGTTAAGAGCACTAGCTGCTCTTACAGGGGACCCAGGTTCAATTCCCAGCATCCACACAGCAGCTAACAACCATTCATCACTCCAGTTCCAAGGGATTTGATACTCTCTTCTGACTTCTGCAGGCACTTCATGACATAGAGACACTGGTGCACTCACATGTAGGCAACACACTCATACACATAAAATAAAAAATAATAAATAAAATATTAAAGAGAAATATTCATATTCCTAAACACAGTAAATCCAAATTTGAATTAAAGAAATACTGAGGGAAAAATAATTATCTACCCAGTGAACGGAACATATCAATGAGCAAGTAAACTCCTTGCATTAAATTATAATGCAAAAAAGCATAGAATCTCAGCGATATTTTCAACAAGTCCTGCTAGCTACTGGCATCTACTAAAGATATTGAAGAGTATCTGTACTTTTAAATCATTTATACACAGAAACTGGTATTAAAAGAGGTTCTCCAAACTAGTACCTTAGAGTCACTCCAGGGTATCATCTAAAACTACAATTTCCTGTAGCTGTAGTTCAGTAACAGCGTGTGCATGGGGCCAATCTTCATGCACAACAAAAATAAAGGACAAGCAACTCTACAAACCCCTTACAAATTCCTGGGTCCACTTGGCCTTGTTGTAAGGTTTGGGAACCACAATAGTAACTGACACTTACTGTCTAGTTACAGCAAACAGCAGTAACAAAAGACAGCAAACCAATGAAAGAGCATTGTTTCAGTAAAGAAAATTCAGAGCCCAGTGGAGCCTCTCCACTAACAAAGAGAACTTTAAGCAAGTCACAATCACCATAGGAGTTTGCATTTCTCATTGTAAAAATGAAGACACTTGACCAGGAAAAAAACCCAAATATATAATTCTGCATTTTTAACTGTTATAAACGTATGAGAAGAGCCAGGAGTGGTGGCGCACGCCTTTAATCCCAGCACTGGGGAGGCAGAGGCAGGCAGACCTCTGTGAGTTTGAGGCCAGCCTGGTCTACACAGAGAATTCCAGGCCAGCTGAGACTACAGGGAGACCCTGTCTCAAAAACACCAAAAAAAAAAAAAAAAAAAAAAAGTTAAAAATATGAGAACCATTTTATAAAAACAAAATTGTTATTTTTTTAAAAGGAGGGCAGGAGGATATTTTCAAGAAGTATGTGTTTTGGGCAACATCTTTTAATTTACTGGGAAAATAAATATTCATGTGTATGGATGGTTTAGTAAGGATCCCTAAAGCACAATACAGATAAAATTTCTACTATTTGTTACCAAAACACAATATAAAGGTACAATAAATAGCTGCTTGAGCTTTTCACAAAAGTCAGCATTCAACAAAGAAATGAATGAGCTTATTCTAAGTAAGAATTAGGTGGCATTCCTTTTCTCTCTTTCATAACACTTTAAGATATACTTGATAGGCCAGGCCTGGGGGCACAGACCTTTAGTCCCAGCACTTGGAAGGCAGAGGCAGGTGGATCTCAGTGAGATCCAGGCCAGGCTGGCCTACATATCAAGTTCCAGGCCAGCTGGGACTACATGGAGACCCTGTCTCAAAAAGATTAAAAAAAAAAAAAAAGATACACTTGATAAACTTTTTATCTACAATAGTCTGTAGTAGCAAAAACCTTGACAATGAAAATACTTACTTTCTTCCTGCATCCGGGCTAGAATCTGCACATCAGTTACATCATTTAGCTTATAGTTGGATCCAATTGAATCTTCATCTAATTCTGAAGCACTTAACTCACTATCTATAGAGGATTGAGGACTGAGAGGAGGATTTCTATCTGATGAGCTTTTGAAGTTACCTGTAAACAAAGGAAAAAAGTCAAACCTTGGTAAGAGAAAAATGGAGTTAAAACATCTGTTGCAACTAGGTAATTACATTCTTTCATTTAGTTTTCATTCTGCCACTTACATTTGCAAAATCCCCAAATACTGAAATGAGAAACTCCCCTCATTAAGGGAAGAGGGCTCCAGAGACTCTTCTGCTTAACTATGTCATTAAACACAAACTTGTCCTTTCAGGATTACTTACCTAGCTTCTCACAGGACAATTAAAACTTTTAGTACAGTGCCTGCAAAGCAGCTAATATTCAATAACTGTATTAGAGGACTTCAGCTTTTACAAGATAATCAAGGAAACTACTCTGTAGATGAGTCTACAATGTTGTGTTTTCTCCTCCCAAATTCAGTCATAAACAAACATTATAATCTTTTCCTTGAAGAAATGCTTTTTTTCCCCCTAAACAACAGTAACTTGAGAAAAGTAGATTTCTTGGACACTAAAGAACAAACCAAAAAAGAACAGGTTAATTTCTCCTACAATGATGTCATGCTTGCCAAATTAATAACAGGGATCCAAGATGTTCTAATGTTTAGTAATATATTAGATGGTAAGAAGAAAATGACTAGAATTTTTTTTTTTTTTTATTCTAGACCAAAAGGAGGTCAGCAGACTGTCAGGAAGAATATACACTGGAACAGTCTAGCACGTTTCTAAGGAAATGCTTTCGCCTGAATCAATTTCTACTGAATAATAATAAAATTCCAGCACTTTCACTAATTCTTCTAATATACTTGCCTACCTTAATTGTTTGTGGGGTTTTTGTTGTTTAAGACAGGGTTCTACTTTGTAATCTAAGGATCTAGCCCAAATTAGCCTGAAACTTGTAATCCTTGCTGGGCATGGTGGTACACACCTTTAGTCCTAGCACTCAGGAGGCAGGGGCAAGCAGATCTATCTGAGGGTGAGGCCAGCTTCATGTGGGGGAGGGGCTAAGAACACATAAGCCGAGAACATCACGAGGCACCTCTTGTCATTTTGTGCTGCTGTCATGAAGTTGAAAGATCTGTATTTGAGTGTGGACGTTCCAGAGCAGCCATGAATAGGGGGACACCCACTTTTCTATAAATAAACCCCCACCCTATGCTGTTAGCAAGTCCAATAAACTCATTAGGATTTTCAAAAAATAAAAAAGGAACAGAGCTAATGGAAACCTTCATTATTCCAAAGTTGACCCCATGTTGGCAAAATTCCTATTTTCCCCCTTTAAATTTCATTGTATATATATTTTTATGTAATCTGCTTCAAGTTATTTCTGGAAAAATGTGTTAAAAACTGCCTCTCCTTGGAATAAAAAACAAACAACAAACAAAACAAAAACCTTGCAATCCTCCTGTCTCAGAGTCCTAAAAGTAGACATATGACATTCATGTCCATCTACTTTTCCAAAATTTTTCACCATAAGATATTCCAATCAATATGAAAAGTATATAAGGAGAGTAAGAAAACAAAATAACATCTACATTATTGATGAAAGAGCATACATAGGATATAATAGGAAAAGTACTGCAAGGTTAGGCTCAAATAATGCCTGGATCAAATTTAAACAAATACTGAGGGTTAAACCTTTTAGTATGATATTCTCACAGGTAAAATAAGTAGCAAAGAACAACCTAAATTTACTAAGCAAAGAGTGGAGTTTATAAAGTTATTGGAGTTAGGAAGCACACAAGTCAAAAAATGAGGTAGGAGCTAGGATGATGGCTAAATCCATAAAGCACCTGCCTCACAAGTATGAGGACTTAAGTTCAAATTTCCACCACCTAAGTAAAAAGCTGGGCAGGACGACAAGGTGTCTATAATCTAGTGCTGGGGAACAACAGACAGGTGGGTCTCTGGAGTTCGCCTGCTAGCCAATCTAGCCATCAGGGAGCTCCAGGTTCAGTGAGAGATCCTATCTCAAAAAAGAAGGTGTAGAGTGTCAGAGAAAGATACCTGATGTTGACCTCTGGCCACCCACACACATGCACACATCCACACAAACACGTGCATACAACCACACACAATTTTGGGGGATGTTGTTAAGTGAGTTTAAAAGTAGCATCAATAAGAGTAATTGAACAAATGAATTAAAAACAAGAGTACTTTAAAAAGAGTCAACTCTGTAGATTTTACAACCCCAACAGGATGTAAATAAGGATTTGCTGATTAAAGGAATCAAGTTGTAGTCCTGTTTAACTAATTTAAAAACATATTTAAGTATGCATAACCTTTGTACCCTTAGTGCCCAGTATAGTAACTCGCACAAAACAGCAAAACAAAGAAAATTTCCCTAAAAATTCACTTAAAAGTTTCATAAATAAAATTAACTTAAACTACTATGGAATAAGTTATTTTCTGAAGTAGGGACATAAGTTAAAGTCGTTCCTTACCTGAATTTCCAGGGAGTATAAGCTGTTTGACTATAGGAGGTCGCACTGGTGTTGAGGATGGAGAGTTGAAGCCACTGCTGTACGGGCTACTGGCGTTTGGACTATAAGGACTTGTATAACTCATAGAGTTGAAAGGATTATTATACAAATTTTGCCTCTTGAGAGCTGTATTAATGACAAGGGGAAGGAAATAAGATTTAATAACTGAGAAAAGGTTAACATTTCAAAGATTTTTCTATTAAAAATTAATTAAGTCAGGACATGATGTGCCTAGTAAATTGCCTTTAAATAAATATGTTTATGTCCATAGATAGTGCTGCTGTCAGCTTTGGTCAGAGAAGCTTCTTTTTACAGTGGTCAATAGTAATTGCAGAGCCTTATAACTTGTGAGTTCAAGGCCAACCTGGTCTACATAGAGTTCCAGGCCAGCTGGGGCTACAGGAAGACCCTGTCTCAAAAAGGCGGGAA